TCTTCTTATCCTTCTTCTTCTTTTTCTTCTTTTTCTTTTTCTTCTTCTTCTTCTTCTCGCACTGGCCTTCAGCTGATCTTCCAGAGGGGGTCGCGGCCTTCGAATCGGAAAGTGCGCCAGTGGATCTCCCTGAATACACTACGGGGGGGGGGTCCAGAAACCCCCCCCCCCCCCCCCCTTCAAGGGGGGGGGGGTCCGACCCCCCCCCCCCCTCCCCCCTTAGGGGGGGGGGGGTCCCGAACCCCCCCCCCTTCCTTTGAAGGGGGGGGGGGGGTCCGGACCCCCCCCCCCCCCCTTTGGCGCTGGAAAGGGGGGGGGGGGTCGGACCCCCCCCGTTCGATTAGGGAGTACGGAGTTGGGGGTAGGGAGTGGTGAGTAGTGAGTAGTGAGTTACTGCGTCGTGAGTAGTGAGTATTGGGTAGTGAGTAGTGGGTAGTGAGTGGCGAGTAGGGAGTAGGGAGTAGGGAGTAGGGAGTAGGGAGTGGGGAGTAGTGAGTAGTGAATAGTGAGTAGTGTGTACTGATAAGTGAGTAGTGAGTGCCGAGTAATGAGTAGTGAGTAGTGAGTAGCGAGTAGCGAGTAGTGAGTACTGAGTAGGGAGTCGGGAGTAATGAGTAGTGGGTAGTGAGTAGTGGGTAGTGAGTAGTGGGTGGCGAGTAGTGATTAGTGAGTAGTGAGTAGCGGGTAGTGCGTAGTGCGTAGTGAGTAGTGAGTAGTGAGTGGTGAGTAGTGAGTAGTGAGTAGTGAATAGTGAGTAGTGAGTAGCGAGTAGTGAGTAGTGAGTAGTGAGTAGTGAGTAGTGAGTACTGAGTACTGAGTAGTACGTAGTGCGTAGTGAGTAGTGAGTCGTGAGTAGTGAGTAGTGATGAATAGACAGTAGTGGGTAGTGGTAGTGAGTAGTGAGGAGCGAGTAGGGCGTAGTGAGTAGTGAGTAGTGAGTAGAGATTAGTCATTAGTGAGTAGTGGGTAGTGATTAGTAGGGAGTAGCGAGTAGTAGTGAGTAGTGAGTAGTCAGTAGGGAGTAGGGAGTAGTGAGCAGTGAGTAGTAATAAGTGGGTAGGGAAAAGTGGGTAGTGAGTAGCGATTGGTGAGTGGTGGGTAGTGGGTAGTGAGTAGTGACTTGTGTGTGACTAGTGACTAGTGAGTTCGGACTAGTGACGAGACTATGTAGTCACTAGTGAGTAGGGAGTAGTGGGTAGTGAGTAGTGAATAGTGAGTAGCGGGGAGTGAGTAGTGAGTATGGGAGTAGTGAGTTCTGGGTACTGTGTAGTCAGTATTGTGTAGGGAGTAGCGAGTAGCGAGTAGTGGGTAGTGAGTAGTGATTTGTGGGCAATGAGTAGTTAGTAGTGAGTAGTGGATAGTGGGTAGTGGGTAATGAGTTGTGATTAGTGAGTAGTGAGTAGGGAGTAGTGAGTAGTGCTTAGTGAGTAGTGAGTAGTGGGTATTCAGGGGTGAGTAGTGAGTAGCGAGTAGGGAGGAGGGAATAGTGAATATGGAGTAGTGAGTAGCGAGTAGTGGGTGGTGGGTAGTGAGTAGTGGATAGTGAGTAGTGAGTCGTGAGTAGTGAGTAGGGGGTACTGAGAAGTGGGTAGCGAATAGCGAGTAGTCAGTAGTGGGTAGTGAGTAATGAGTAGTGAGTACTCTTGGGGGCTGGGGATAGTGGTTGGGGTTAGGATTAGGGGGTTGGGTTGGGGTGAGGACTAGGGGTAGGGGGCGGGGGGCGGGGGTCGGGTTCCGGAGTCAGGGGGCGGCGTGGCGAAAGGGGGGGAGGGGGGGGGGTCGGACCCCCCCCCTTTTGAAAGGGGGGAAGGCGGGGGGGGTCCCCGACGACGGATCGGGGAAAGGGGGGGAGGGGGGGGGGTCCCCGACGACGGATCGGGGAAGGGGGGGAGGGGGGGTCCCCGACGACGGATCGGGGAAGGGGGGGGGGGGCCCGACGACGTATCGGGGAAGGGGGGGGGGGGTCCTAACCTCCAGCGGCGCACCCTCTTCGAATCGTGGCCGAGGAGGTCAACACTCTGAGACGGGGTGGTGGGGGGTGAGCTCTGGTGGGTGTGGGGGGCGATGGGGTCGTCGCGCCTAGTCAAGTGCTGGCCCCTTCTTGGGGTTGCCTGCCCCGCTGGGCGCCAGTCGGCCAGCGCAGCTTGTGCTGTAGGTCGTAGGATGGTTCGCATAGTAAGTTATGTGGTTTTGAAGGACCCCTCCCATAGTACAGTTCAGTTTTTTCCGTGCCGATGTCTGTAACCTGGATGGGAATTCCATGAGGTTCTGCTCGGCTCTGCTCCTCCTCCGCTTCGTCTTCCGCCCTGGTCCTCGCGGCTCCAGATTGCACCGCCCTGCTGATTGACAGCAGCGCTGCGGTGCAGACGGAGGAGCGTGGGGTTGTTCAGCTTGGCACGGCGCGAATTCGCCCGTCAGCTTCCGCTCAACCCTTTGACGGGGTCATCAGAATGTCGGTTTCTCTTCTGATTTGCGGCGCCCCGAGGCCCGAAGTCCGAGGGTCATTGGAGGTCCTCGGAGGTCCTCAGAGGCCCCCTGGAGGCCTGCGGTGCCAAGGAAGCCTCCGGAGACTTCCAGAGGCGCCCTAAGGTTCAGAACACCAAAGCAGGCATCGATCATCGAGGCGGGTGTAATCGTGTTCCCCTTTCGTGCTTCACGGGCGGGTGTTACCCTCTCCCCCTGCGGTAGCACAACTGTTTCGACGCTCGCGCGCTTTTGTGGCGCTTGCAGCGTCAAGCGTGCTGTTGCGAACCCATGTGGGGCTTGCGCACTCGAACACAATAATTGTGAAGGCCTGACGGCCGGTGCCGCCGACCCTGAAAGACATCGACGACGACCAGGAGGGGAAGGAGGAGGAGGCGGAGAAAAGGAGGAGGAGGAGGAGGAGGAGGAGGAGGAGGAGGAGGAGGAGGAGGAGGAGGAGGAGGAGGAGAGGGAGGAGGAAAAGGACCGCCCTGGGACCCCCCCCCGTGGGGAGGAGGACCGGAGGAGGACCGGCGTGGGAGAGGGGAGGGGAGGGGGAGGACCCCCAGGGACGGATGCGTATTTGACTCCCCTCCCCCCCTTGGGACTCCTCCCCACCTCGGGAGGAGGACCCGAGGAGGACCGGCGCGCTGGAGAAGGACCGGCGTGGGAGAGGAGGACCCCCAGAGGCGATGCGAATCCGACCCCCCCCCTCCCCCCCGGGACCCCCCCACTGCCGGGGAAGGGACAGGGAAGGGTTTCCCTTTGACGTAATGAGGACGTGGATGGAATTCCCACAAGCTGCGAACCCGTTCCCCGAACGAGGAAGGGTTCTCTTTCTCTCTCTCTCTCTCTCGAGGGAGGAGGATGGGAATGAGGGGGCGAATGAAGGCTCCCTGTCGACGGGACCGGACAGACACCCGACACACGCCGACAGGGTCGGCGACACTATTTCAGTACTGGCAGGGTCTGCCTTCTTTCGCCGTCTGGCGGTCAAGAACACATATTTGGCGCTCACAGGCAAGTTGTAGTACTCGAAGTTGTTGTACTCACAGGCAAGGAGGAAGAATATCCGCGGAGGATATGTGTGCCCCGTACCGCATTGGCGTCTCCCGAGGCGTCGTCGATCTTCGGCCCAGGAATGGTACGGTACATAGCTGCTCTTCCCGTAGAGCCAGAAAAAAACGTATGCACCGTACCGCATTGGAGCGAGGCCTGAAAGGAATCCAAACATGTCTGGTGCATGAGCGCCGTCTTTGTAGAAGAGGAGGCACGTTGACAGGGCAGCTCGAGCTCCGAAGCCTCATCTGTGCAGCCTGGTTGCCTGCAGAGCGAGGGCCCGTGGATCTCGGTTTGGGGTCGCCGCGGCTCTCATCGTTGTTGTCGTATTTGTGGTCGTGCCCGTGCTCGTGGTCATCGTCGTGGTCATCTTCGCTGCCGCCGTCGCCGCCGCCACCACCGTCGTCGCAGTCGTCGTCAAGCCGCCGCCGTCATGCGTCCGTGCGACCGTCCGTCCGTCCGTCCGTCCGTCGTCGTCGTCGTCGCTGTCTGCGATTCCGTTATCGTCGTTGCGGAGAGGCCCGGTGGCTACTCCGCTTGCTGTCTCAAGCTCTCGCATAATGGTGACACGTGACTGTGGTGATGGTGATGCATACAGGCTGGTGGTGGCGCGCGTGGCTAGTGTTGGTGTGCACGGGCTTGTGCTGGTGTGTACAGGCTCGTATGCACGAGTTGTGCACATGCGCAAGCGCATGATGCACGATGCGTGCAGCCGAGCGCCGGCGATGTGCCTGGACTCGGAGGCTGTGGCTTCCCCGTCTTGTGACGACAAAGGCGTTGTGGCGTTCACTCACATGCGCGTCGTGGCGCTAGCAGGCTTCCGCGGTGATCACATGCGCACGGTGTTGCTGCGAAAAGCACATTGTGGTGCTCGCAAGCATGTTGCGGCGTTCGCGGGATATTGTATGGCTCAAAGGCTTATTGCTGGTGCCCGCAGGCATTTCGTTGCGCCGGCAGGCACTTGTGATACCGCCAGGGTCTGACACGCTGCGTTGCGTCCTGGCCGCAGGCATCACGTGGCACTGGCATGGTCCAGCATCATGTGGCACTGGCACACTGCAGCCGCCGTTCCTGTCACCCCCTGACGCTGCTCCCCGATGACGATGACGTTAACGTTGATGACGATGACGATGACGGTGATAACAGTGACGATGACGATGACGATGACGTCATCGTCATCATAATCGTCATCGTCGTCCCCCCCGTAGCTCCTCCCACCCGGAAGGGGAGAGGGAAGAGCCGCCACAAACGCACACACGTTCGCAGAACTGGCCCCATCTTTTCCCGTACCCCCCGGCGAGCGGAGCGCGGGCGGCGCCAGGGGCGGCCCAGGAGGAGGAGGAGGAGGAGGAGGAGGAGGAGATGGGCCCCAGCGCCGGTCTAAGAAGTCCGCGCGGACCTCGGAGAGAGAGAGACAGCATAGCTCTGGCTTTGGGCAGCCACGCCCTGCAGAGAGACTTGCGCCTCCGCTGGCTCAGGCGCTCCTGAACGCCGTGGCCTTCGTGTCCTCGACGGGGAAGCCCGCTGAGGCGACCGCTGCTTGCCCCTTCCCCCCCCGCCCCCGGGCGCCCGGGGAGCAAGGGTCGCGAAGGGGGGAGGAGGAGGAGGAGGAGGAGGAGGAGGAGGAGGAGGAGGAGAGAGGAGAGGAGGAGGAGGAGGAGGAGAAGAAGAAGGAGGAGGAGGAGGGGGAGGGGGAGGAGGAGGAGGAGGAGGAGGAGGAGGAGGAGGAGGAGGAGGAGAAGGAGGAGGAGGAGGATCGGTGCAAACCCAAGACTCATCAACGATAATGGAATACACCCTCCCTCCAAGCTCCCACCTCACAGGCCCGTACAAGGGTTCCTTTCAATTGAGGGAAGTGCCCCGTTGGGAACAACCGTTCGAAGACCCTGAAGTGTGCCTAAACACTATTAGTAACTGTTCCGCCCTCACAGTCCTGAGTCCTCTATAACACGACTTCTGGCACGTTGTCCATGGGAATCCGCGACATCTTTACAAATGTTTAAGACGAGTGTGCGCAGCGCCGAGGCGAGAGCCACATTTTGAAAGAAACGTCCTCAATACGCGAAACTCTTGCAACTGTTTAAAACGAGTGTGCGCGGCGCTACGGCGAGAGCCACATTTTGGAAACCGCCCGCCCTCCACCTGTGAAACTGTTGCCAAGTTTTAAGCTTCGGGGTCAATAGTGATGAAGTCTCAGGCGAAACGCTGGGCCCGCTCTTTCGACCGGCCTCGGGGTGCGACAGGGAGGAGCTATTTAAAAGGATAAGGATTGGGAATGGAGGAGGGGGGTGTTGGAGGAGGAGCTTCAAGAGGCTATGACAGCGTGCATCGCGCGAGCGTGAGTGGTTCGACTTGATGAGGGACTCTGCCTCGCTGGAGTTGGAGTAGGAGGAGGAGAAGGAGGAGGAGGAGGAGGAGGAGAACGAGGAGGAGGAGGAGGAGGAGGAGGAGAAGGAGGAGCTTGCTTGGTTTCTGGCCACCTGTCAGCTCTCTGGAGGCCCCCAGGGGCTTCCAGGGACCCCTGGAGGCCCCGCGAGAGTGGGTCTGGGCGAAAAGGGGCTTCCCCCTTCCCCCCCCATGCCCTCTCGCCTCCTCGCCCTCCTGCTCTTTTCAGGGGGGGGGAAGCACATAGACACGATTAATCGTCGATTCCAAGGAATATGGGAACATATAGACAATGGGGGGACAAACGCAAACCCAGAACATGTAGGAAAATATCGGGAACCCTAGGATTTGTTTGTATTGAGTTGGGTGTCCCAGGGCCCGTAAATCTTCTTCCCCCTCATCATTACCTCCTCGTGCTGCTTCCCCTCCGCTCTCCAACCCCTCCCTCCCCTCCATTCTACCTCCTCCTGTCCTCCTCGCCCTGGCCCCTCCCCCCCTCCCTCCCGCCACTCCCTTCTTTCTCCCGTCCCCACTCCTCCTGCTCCTCCATTCTTCTTCCTGGCGACGGATTCCTCCCTGTCGCACCCCGAGGTCGGTCGAAAGGGCGGCCGGGCGTTTCGCACGAGACGTCCTCACCACTGATGACCCCGGAGCTTGGAACTCGGCGACAGCTTCACAGGTGGAGGGCGGCGGTTTCCAGAATGTGGCTTTCGCCGTAGCGCCGCGCACATTCACTTCAAACAGTCGCAAGAATTTCACGGATTGAGGGCGGGCCGTTTTCAAAGTGTGGTTTGCGCCGTAGCGTTGCGCACATTCGGTTTGAACATTCGCGAGACGTTCACGGATTGAGGCCTGCTCCTTTTCAACATATGTCTCTCGCCTTAGCACCGCGCACAGTTGTCTTACACATGTGCAAGAGTTTCACGGATTCCCATGGTGAACGTACCAGAACTGGCGTTTCGGAACGCGTCAAGATTGCCTTGGCGCAACAGTGAATTACGTTGCTTCGCGGTGGCTCAACAGTAAATTACGTTGCTTCGCGGTGTTGGAGTCCCAGGAATGGCGTTTTGGTGCGATTCAGGATCGTCAAGACGCAACAGTCAGTTTGATTCGTGGCATTGGAGTCCCGAGAATGTTGTTTTGGCACGCTTCAGGGTCTTCAAACGATTGTTTCCCAACGGGGCACTTCTCTCAGTGAAAATGAATCCTTGTAGGAGCCTGTGAAGAGGGAGTTTGGAGGAAGGGTTTATTCCAACATCGTTGATGAGTCTTCGGTTTCCACGGGTCCTCCGCCTCCTCCGTTCCCCCTCTCAGCCTTCCGCCCCCCCACCTCCCCCTCCCCCCGTCGTCCCCGCCAACGGCGCCGCCGCCGCCCTGCCCGGCCCGCCCCGACAGCCAGGCAACCGCCCTTCGCGGCGCCGCGCCCGCCGCGGCGGCGATGTACGGGGCGCTGGCTGCGTCCGTGCCGGAGCCGGCGGCGGCCTGGAACGAGCAGGAGCCGCCGCCGCCGCCAGAGTCCCCGACTCCGTGGCGGCCTGCCAGAGCCCGCGGCGCTGCCGTGCCCTCGGGCGGCGACGGCATCGACGGCGATCGCGACGACGGTTGCGGCAGCGGCGGCGCTGGCGGGCATGCGCGCTAGCGACGGTGCGGGCGGGCAGCGACCGTCTGGTGTCCGTCGTCGTCGTCGCTGTCGCCGTCGCTGTCTCTGTCGCTGCCTTCTTCGTCGTCCCTCGTCCTGCTCTTTCCTCCTCCTTCTGGGGAGGCGGGGTGACAGGAAGGAGAGGGCGGGATGCACGGGCGGATGGAAGAGTGAGAAGGAAGGAGAAAGAGGGAGGAGGAGAAGGAGGAGGAGGAGGAGGAGGAGGCAGGGACAGATGGACGAAAAGGGGCTGGGGCAGTGTGGCTAACGCGGTATTTCTGCTAATTACAGGCGGCAAGGATGTCCGAACCTTTCGTGGTCTCATTCCGATCCCGCTCAGTTTAGAAACGGCCCAACCTTCCTTTTGGAGATCGAGCCCTTCTGCCCGCCTTCAAGACTCTCCGCGAGTCGCGTGATCCGCATTTTGGCGACGGGCCGCCTTCGACCTGCGTGGCTGTTGGATGATTTTACGGCGAACCTGCACAGCACAGTTGAAAATGGAGATCCGCGTAATCGCGTAAGTATTGGAAGTCTTTCAGTCGAATGTCCGCGGCGCTTATTACTGCGAGAAACAAATTCTGCACATGAGTTACATTCCATCAGCGTGCATGCTGGAAGTGCAGCGTTGTATGGTCGTACATCGTGAGACGTCCCAGACGAAATAGGAAGATGACGCGCGGCATTGGATGATGACTATGCTGAGTTTGATGTTAGTTGTGATGGTGACTACAACTATTCGGCTTCTTAGAAGGCGCGGGCCTTGTCTACAGATGTAGGGCCAGCGCCTTCTAAGAAACAGCCTCCTCCTAAGAAGCCTTCCCCCCTGCCTGTCCCCCTGTGCGCGCGGCCACACTATTGCAAGTACGATGGTAATGACGATTAAGATGACCTTCGCGAAGGTGATGGAGATGGTGATAGTGATGGTGGCGTTGCCGATGATGATATCTCAATGAGGAGGAGGAGGAGGAGAACAATAATGATGAGGAGTAAGTGGGCGGAGGATGGGAGGGGGAGCGAGGAGGACGCTAGTTCTCTGTAGAATGTGTGCAGGATGTCCCCACAAGCCTCCAGAGGCCGTTGGTGCAAGCTGTGTACTGAATGCTGCGTGGTGCCATCTTCTCGGCGCAAGCTACTTGGCGCAGTCTATGTGGTCCAATACATGTATTGCACTCTGCGTGGTCCACACAAGGTGATGGAAGCTATGTTGTTCAATATACGTAGTGCACGCTATGTGGTACATGCGTACACGCTATGTGTTGCAAGCTGTGGACTGCAATGTATGTGGTGCAGCATGTGGGGCGAAGCAATGTGGTGCACTCCATGCTGTGCGAGTCATGTGGTACAAGCTGTGGTCTACAATCTATGTGGTGCAAGCTATGTGGTGCAACTACTTAGCGTCGGCGAATGACTTGCCAACTCCACTGCTCTCGCAACCATCCCACCCTCCCACCGCAACCTGTTTTTCAACATCCATGCGGCCGCGATTGCGAATATGCTTGGCGCTGGCTGGTGCATCTCTGCTGCCGCGCTGGCTCTTGCTGATGGGAACTTCCCAGAACGTCTCAGACTCCGCGCTACGTCAGTGCGTGTGGGTGATTCGCTCGGGCGCGATGTCATGATGACGTTGGCAGCGGCGGCAACGATGTTGATAACGATGGTAGGGGGTAGGGGGATGATGAGGATGACGACGGCAAGACCAGTGACGGCGCTGATGCTGGTGGTGACGATGGCAATCATATGGGCATGTGTCGGAGATAGCGATTGGGTGATGATGGCGGTAGTGGCTGCGCTTCACGATGGCGATGTCGGCGGTGATACGGTGGCGGTGATGAGGGTGATGGTGAGGAAGCGCGTTCGCGCAGAAATTGAAGGCACCTGGCATACTTTTTGCCGATCAGCATTGGGTATTTCCCAACCATCCTGTGGTATTGGGTCTTCGCTTTTCAACAGCGCCTCGCGTCCCACCTCACCTTCCTCCCCACCTTCCCCCCTCCTCCCCACCCCTGCCCCTGCCCTCCGAATCACCCTCCGCCTGTTTCCATCCAGCTGCTGGCGGCAAGTCCCGCCACTGTGCCAGCCCAGCTTGGTGGCGACTGTTCGAGGAGCACGAGGGGCCGTCACGCGTGACACCTTGTATCTGCAGGTTTGGGATAGCTATATTGCTGCTGATGATGAGGATGATTGGGATGATGACGATGACGAGGCGGAGGAGGAGGAGGAACAGCAGGAGGAGGACGAGCAGGAAGAGGAAGGCCGTCACATTTGACACCTTCTGTCTTCATGGCTTGACGAGCTTTCATGGAACTCATTTGGGCTGTCTTTGGGCTGTCTTGGCCTCGGGGGAGTTTTGGAGGTCCCTTTGATCCGTCCCGGGGTTTTCTTCGGCCGTCTTGGGGTTGTCTTCGGCAGTGTTAGGGCTCTCTTGGGCCATTTTTGGGGCTTTCTTGGCGGTATGGGGGTTGTCTGGGGGCCGTCGTGGGGTCTTGGCGCCGTCTTGGGCTCTCCAATGGCCTTCAAAGGCCGTCTTGGTTGTCTTTTGAGGCTCTCTTGGGCTGGCTGGGGGCCGTGGTGTGGTCCTCTTGAGTCATCTGGTGTGCGATCTTCAAGGGTTCTGATCAATTTGACATCCAAATGCAGGCTCTCTTGGGCTCCGGCGCTATAGTCTGGAGAGGCGCTTTGCAGTCCCGCTGCGCATGACGTATAACATCATCCGTTGCCGGCGCAAGCTCGAAACGGCAAGAATTTGGAATAACAATAGTCCCAAACAGTCTTGTTGGCTTCTTGGCTTTCCTTGGCCTGCTGTGAGGCAGCCTTGGAGATCTTTTGTTGCCCTATTGGGCCTTTATGATACCCTTGAAGCTCTCTGGGGCCGTCTTGGGGCCCTCCTGCCGGTGTGTAGGTGTCTGGCGCCCTCGTAGAGCCAGCCGTCTGGGCGACGTCTTAGGCCGTCGAGAAGCCTGGCCAGGCCGTATGGGGCCCCACGGGAGGCCCTCTCAGGCCATTTAGCGGCCGTCTTGGATGCCTCTTAGGCCATACGACCTCTTGGGGGCCCTCGTAGGCTGTCTTGGGGTCATCGTGGAGGCTTTTTGGGCCGTTTTGAGCTAACGGCAGCCCGAAAAGGCGAGAATGCGAAAACCATTGAATTATCTGAGGGAATCAATGAGTGTGGCTTCTTCGGGCCTGTGGCGTCCTCTTGCGGCACTTTTGGGCCTTCTTGGAGGCATTTTGCGCTGTCTTTCAAGGCCTGGGAATGCGGTAAGTGCGCGGTCCTCGAGCGGGTGCGCGTGGGATGAGAGGGCTAGGCGTGAACAGCCATGCGGGAAGTACACAATCTTCGAGCGGGCGCACATGAAATGAAAGTTCAGGCATTAGCTGCCATGGTGGAAGTGCACCATCCTCCAGCGGGCACGCGTGGAATGGGGGTTTGGGCGTTCGCTGCCATGCTGGAAATGCACCGTTCTTGAGCGGGCATGAGGGAAGTGGCCTCGGAAAGGAGGGGCGATGCATGCAACAGTCCGCTGGTAGAGGGATGCGGTCCCTTCTTACATTTCCGAAAATCCACCGGACAGCTCCTGGCATTCTTCCACGCCTCAACGTGCCGGGGGGCACGGTGGCGGATTTCGGCACACCCCTCACAAGCTTCGTGGCCCCACCGAGAGCTCCACCGAACGCCGCAGTGGCACCGTCCATATGTGGGCGTCACACCCATTTCGGCACACCGCTCACCCGAGTCCTGGCCCCATGGGGAGCTCCACCTAACGCCCCATTATCATCGTCCACATGGTGCCGTCGCACCTGCTTCGGCACACGATTCATGTGTTTCGAGGCTTTACAGGGAGCTCCACCTAAGGCACCTGTGGCACCGTCCACGTGGTGGCGCCACATCCGTTTCGGCACACTCCTCACACGCTTCGTGGCCCCAGCTCCACCTGAGGCCCCCGTGGCACCGTCCACATGGTGACTCCTACACTCGATTTCGGCACACCGCATACGCTTCGTAGCCCCATAGGCAGCTCCACCTAAGGCCCCCGAGGCACAGTGCACATGATAGCATCACGCCAGTTTCGGTGCAACCCTCACACGTTTTGTAGCCCCGTAGGCAGCTCCACCCTCCACCTAAGGCCCCAGTCGCACTGTCTACAGGGTGGCGGCACCCGTTTCGGCGCACCCCTCACACGCTTCGTGTCCCCCAAGAGCGCTCCACCGAAGGCCCCAGTGGCATCGTCTACACAGTGGCGTCACACTTGTTTCGGCACACTCCTCACACGTGTTGTGGCCCCATGGGCAGCTCCACCTAACGCCCCAGTGGCACCATCCACATGGTGGCATCACTCTCGTTTCGGCACGCCCCTCATACCCCTCGTAGCCCCATAAGGAGCTCCACTTGACGGAGGCGCCTCCACCGCCCACCTGCGGGCGTCACGCCCTTGAGGGCGCACCCTTTACATGTTTCGTGGCCTCGTAGGGAGCTCCACCGAAGGCCCCAGTGACACCGTCCACATGTGGGCGTCGCACCCGCTTCGGCACACCACACATGTGTTGTGGCCTCCTAGGAAGCTCCACCGAGGGCACTTAGTCTGGTCCCGGAGCGTGTTCACTAAAAGGCGTTTTACTAAGGGGGGTCTTGCCCGCCCTCGAATGAATGTCAGCGAATGGTCGCAGGGTGGCATCTTCTGCGGTGAGTTTCTTGAGGACCGCCAGCTTGGAGTGTTGGAAGTTCGAAGACTAGATTTCGATACACTGAGTTGAACACCTTAGAAGCATATTTGCCTACCTTCCTACCTACCTACATATAACCATACATCAATGTACACATACACATCCATACACATACATACACAAATATACAAATACATACATACGT